TAAGCGAATTAATAACACCAAGACCAATAACATAAATATTATTTATACAATGCCTGCACTGATCAACACATAAACTCAGTTTCGATCCGTTATGAAAAGTAGTGCTGATGTTAGAAATCATACTTCCCAATATTTCTGAAAACTATCTTAAGAGATTTAGGTATTGTCTTTAGTTATTTAACAAAATATCTTGGGAAAATGATTTTTCTTTATTATAGACAATATTCTAATACTTTATATAAATCGCGCTTCTAAAATATATCTCACAATAGTCGGACAACTATTAAAGCTGTTTCAGTAACGTATATTTTATTCAAGAAAGTTCGCAACTGTAGACGAAATAATAACTCAGTAGGTGATAGATTTTAACCAACTCCAGTTTGGGTCTCACTTCATTCAACCTTTTTGTCAAAGGAATCAAATTGTCAAATTCAATAAGTCAAGGAGAACATGGTTTATATACTCCTAATCTAGGAGTATATAGATATATAGTTAGACTGATTCTGCTCCATCGCAACACCTACTGATTGAATTTGCTGACGTTCAAGAAGAACTCACCGGATTACTATACTGTCAGGCCATCTTCTAAATGATTTAACAGTATTTCTAGTATAAGAACTAGTAATAGCGTACATTAACTGATTAAAAGGTATCAGAGCTTTTGTAATAGCCAATCCAAAATTGTTAGCTAAATTAAAGAAAGAAGCTCCCTTCGTTTTATTTATAGATGAAAATTTAACTGATCAGACTTTCGAAAAACAAAATCTTCGGTTTTATAAGACTTATAAGCACAGATTTAGTGGCAACGACAACCTTAACTGCTTCTTCTGTAACTCCTTAAAAGTAGCTCGCATTAATGATTGTATACCATTGTCTGCTTAGATGTACTTCATTCGATATCAGACCCTCTCTATTACGCTTCAGGGTAACCCTCTACCGTTAACTTAACGGTACCGTTACCGTTAGCCATCTGTATTTTTTGACGTCTACTTATATAACTTATATAATAAGGGACAAACTATCCCTAATTGCTGATTTCACTATAAATTTTAGCTCAATTATAATCCAGGTTGTAGTCAGTTTATAATTATTTCAATCTGTCCACAGTTTTGCATTAAAAAAAATTTTTGTTACTAACCTTTCACTTTATTTTAATTGTTGTCCAATCTCCTTTTCTCTCTTTTAGACCGCTCAGTTGTACACCTTCATCCATCCAAAAAATAAATATTCCAACCATCCCGATCATTAGCATATACAGGGAAGGAAGGATAGAGGGACTTATCGCTTTTCCTTCTCGTGGCAATATAAGCTGTATATAACTCACTGCCCATTGGCACAATCTTGGCAATGATTAAATTAAATGTTGTCCTTATGTTAGTCGTTCTTTTTGACTTCTAAAAGAGAATAAACCTTTCCATTAACTTCATCATCTTAATTCAACATTTCTACCCTGAGAATCTATTGTGGGTTCTCCAATCACATGTATCAATTGATCGTGATTATTATTAAGTTTGTCACTTCTAGAGCTCTTCATATCACATTACTTAAACAAGTTATGCCCTCACTTCATTAGACAGACAGATCTTATTACATTATGATATTTTTGAAATGATGGAATATGCTACTATCACTCTCGATATCATGTACATAACTTGATGTCAATTGTATAACTACTTACTTATTGTAAAATAATCCATTTTCTATACAGGAAAAAAATCACTTCCAACTTATCGAATCCTTAGCGAAATCAATTTATATATGTATATAGCGCTTATAGCTCTATAGCTATTATAGAATAAAAAATTTTCATTCTTTATATCTATTATATCTGTGGAGCCTATACAAGACTAAGAGAAGTACGTCGGGCTGATAAACTTGTTTCAAACGAAACTGTTTTAGATAAACATCTTTCTCTAAGTGCTGGAGGGATGAAACATCTTTATGACAACTTTCTGTCTTATTAGATTAACTAATCTCTCCTTAGTAACTAATTCAGTAATTATTTTTAACTCTTAATGTCTGACTGAGAAGAAAAGGCTTCTGTAAGCTTTCATGCATTAATTTTACAAGACGAGCCACGGAGTTCAATGACTTACGATGGTGTTAGTTGCTTCCAAAGAGTTCTCCTAATATGCAGAATAAATGCAGAACATGTGAGAGGCGGTCGCTGAAGGAAAAACTTGAAGAAGACAAGTTCAAGCGTGTAAGTTGGTATTTATTTTATATTTGGTTTTCTATGGCTTTCAGAATTATTTACTTATACATATGTTATATGTGTATCACTCTAAGAATACGTAATGCTCTATTAATCATCGGCTGAAATTACTACATCTGTTAAAAAACTGAAGTGGGAGGGGGATAGGTCTCATAATGCAAAGTTATTGGTCAAAATTATGCAGTTTTGATAATTTATTTAATTTGGTCTAGGATTAAAAAAACTTCTTATATGATCTATTTATAATCTGGAGCCAGCCTTCCTCGTATACCGACGGTACTAGAAATAATTTTTTCATTTTGTCACTTGACTTTTAAAAGCTTTTTTCGCACACTTCGCTGTATTTGTAAATTTTCTATGAAATATTTCAACCATTTATTGTTGTATGAAATTAACGCTAGATGGAGTGACTACTAAAAGTTTGAAATTGACAGTTAAAGGTTGTGATAACTGTCGGGACTTCGAAAGTTTTTTTCATTTTGGTCAATATTAAAGAAAAATAGAGTTAGAACAATAGGCTGATCAGCTTTATTTTACTCTTATATATAGTATATTTACTTATGTATATGTTTATATATATTTTTATAATTTTTAGATATTTTTCTACACCACACCCAACTCAACAAGACCTCCGTTTGAAATTTTATATAACAAATAAAATTTCTTATGTCAAAACGCTGAAAATAATGTAAGTGGCTTACTTTGAGACAGTTTTATTAAAGGAAAAGGGCCAAGGATAAGAATGGTACAATATATTTAAATAAGATCGAGAAGTGATTGAAGTGAGAAGACTTGTCTTGCTTCGGTGGATTATCAACTTCTTTGCCTAACCATAACACAGTGAAGGAAATTGTGCTGGGAGATCATCATTCGAGCTTAAGAAAATACATTTCGGGGTCTCAATATGCCTCCAGAATTTGTTAAAGTTAGTTTAGTTAATGTTTTAAGCATGTAATACGTTCCAATACACCTTACACTCAATAAGTTAAATAAGCTTAAAGAATGAATTCTTAAATTAGCTAAATGACGTTCATAATTCGTAAAAACATTTTAAAAATTTTTAGTTCATAAAACAATAGTGGCTATTATGATAAACCTATCTATTGATAGAGAATAATATTCGTCTACTCAGTGGATTGGTAGACAAGTTTCATATTATAAAACTCGAACAATATTGACAAAAATGTTCACTATTGTAAATGATTTAAGGATTTTAGAGCGTGGAGTTTCATCTTAGCTTGCTTTCTTAAATCCTAAATAACAGAGAAAGCACAAACGATTCATTAAACTGAAATTAAGCTAAATTTTTATGTTTAATTTAATTCTATAAAGAGTTGCAATATTATGGATTTTAGGTAATTACGAAATTTCCACCGCTCAAATGCTATTGACAGATTTGTCTTTTGTAGATAGAAAAATGTCTATCGTTTTACAGTTCACAATACGTAAATACACTTTTGTCTATGAGCGGTAAAAATTTCTCTACTGTCTCTCAGTGATGGACAACCCATACTAGACACTCATATTCGCAAAAGCTGAAAATAATACTGAAATATATATCAGTATAACCTACATTGATGATTTGATTACTTTTTCGTATTTGCTATATATCGGTTTAAATGTAGTTTAAATGTAGGTAACATATACTTAAGTGATTAAATGAATATATTGTCTTACATTGACATATTCCTGATACTTTTTTTGACAGAATATATTGCTATTGCTATTGCTATTGCGATTGTATACATTATCTAGATTAAATTTATTTATTTTTTATTGAATGTACAATTACACAATAATATATTGCATTCATATATTTTCTATATATATTATATATAAAATAATGTATAATTATTTCATTTGACTATATGTTTTATGTTATATTCTGTTATTACATTATATATTTTCATTTATTACGAACATAGCTAGTATCCCTCGTTTGTGAGGCGCCCTCTTTTATTCAAATATAGCAATTGCAAGCACATAGTAGAGACTCATGTTTTGAAGCTTCAAATATATTACTGGTATCGTTTTAATTTATTTTAATAATTGCTTTATTAAAAAATAAACTGAAGAAATAATAAATCAGTTATTTTAATGCATTTCTCTTTTCCACTTTTCATTGTTTCATTTTTCTTGTTTTAAATTTAGATAAAGTGATTATTGGAGTTCAAAATTTTTGGCGCCAAAATTTAAAGTAAACAGCGACAAGAAAAGAAAAAGAATTTAATGAAAATCAACTTATAAAAAGGAAATAAAAACATTAATTAAATTATTATTAAATTGCAACTCTTTAGTCTGCATTTATGCCTACATTCCTTAAATTAATTATATATAATTATGAAATATGAAAAAAAAGAAAAATTATTGTTATAATAATTAACAGTTACTTTAATCAGTCTTTCAGTAAAATTAGTTTTATTTATATTTTAATACACTAAATTTTTTTTACCACTCAAATTGTTAATTTGTAACAAATAATTACTAATCATTTATCAATAAGTAATTTTTGAAAAATAATTTTATATAAAAAATGGTATATATATTATATATAATATGGAATATTATGCATATATTATCCAAAATATTAACAAAAAATTATTTTCACTGGGTGACATATGCAATCCAATTGAGCATATCTTGCTAATTTTTTTTACCTCGCAGCGTCATCTATCGTTCAATTTTCATTTTTGACAATCACATGTTCTGATATGAAAAATTTTCTTCTCGATGTTGACAGCAAGGAATTTTTAACTCTCCAACTCTTGTTGTCATTTTGGAACATTTTCAGTTGTTTGTTAGTCGCTGAGTTAATCGGTGATGTCGCGTGTGGAGAAATGATTTAGCAGAAAATTAGTTTGAATCGTGTTCTTTATTAAAAAGTAAACAATAAAAAAGTTCCCATTATTTGAACAGAAAACAAGAAAGTGAAAGTAAGTGCGCGAGTAAAAAAATTATTAAATATTTTTTCGAATAATTATCAAACGAACGACAATAACAACAACATTTTGGGTCAGCATATGACGGTGTCTTCGCACCACAGCAATTTTAAGTTTATTTCTTATTTGAAAATTCAATAGTTTAGCGGCATAAACGAAAGCAAATGCGTTGCAGCTGTCACCGTCATTGCTGGTGCAGCAGCGTCGCTGCCGCTGTCACTGTCACTGCAGCTGCAGCCCAAATTGAAGCAAGAAATTCATTAATAAAATTTTAAGACAAGAAATAAATAAGAATAATTTTGTTTGAAACAAATTACGGCCCGCAGAGCCGAAACCTACGTTTTATGTGAACGCCAACAAAAACAAAAACAATGACAAAAACCAAAACAAACACTGAAAACATAGCAACAAAAACAAAGCGAAAAAATTAATAAAATTTTAATTTTTTTATTTTTGTTTATTTTGTTTGTCTTTTTTTGTTATCTTCAAAAACAACAAAAACATGGGCAAATGCAATTTTCACAAAACAAAATAAAAGCAGAAAAAACTATTCAGCAGGGAAAAGTGATTTTGTGTTTCATTGTTTTTGTCTTTCTTTAATTAATTTTCTTGGCGAAGTTTGTAATTAAAAAAATTATGTTTTTTATTTGGTTCACAGGTAACACGTGCATGGTGCACGTTTCAACATCTCTTGCCCCGAACCACCATTCGAACAGCAACGAATCTTTTCTGAGGGGTAAGAATCACATTGGCCGCTCTTTGGAATTCAACGAATTTCTGGCGCCAAAATTTAAAGTAAACAACGACAAATACAAATAAAAAAACAATTTAACAAAAATTAATTAACAAAAACAAAAAAAATGAATTACAAACAAAAAATAATTTAAAAATAGTTAATTACGAAAAAAAAATTAATTAATTTAATAAAAAAAATTAATTAATTTAATAAAAAAAATTAATTAATTTAATAAAAAAACCTAATTAGTTTAACAAAATTAATTAGTTTGAAAAAAAAAATTAATCAATTTAAAAAAAAAATAGAGTTGTGTGCAATTTTTTGTTGTGATGAAAACAAAAAAAATTTTTAAATAATTTTAATAATTACAAAAATTAGTTAATTAAAAAAATTAGTTAATTAAAAAAAATTAATTGAAAAATAATTTTTTTTATAATAAATAAAAAATAGTATATAATTAATGATAAGTAAACAGTCAGCAAAGTTTAAAAAAATAATCTGATTGGACGCAACGTACAATATTTTTTCGGTGAGTAATAAACTTGATCTATATATGTATATATGTATATATATATATGACTCGTAATTGTCATTTATATCCGAATATTTTTCAATGATCTAAATCTTCAATATTCGGCGTGAAATGTGGAGTCAGCTAGCCATGTGGTGTGAGAGTGGATAGGTCTACGAAATCTTCAAGGGCTCCATCCAAGCAACATTTTTTTTCGCAGTGTTTGATTATTCCTTACGTATTGCCATGGTCATTTCTATCACTTGACTTTAATTTCCAACGGTTGGCGTGCGGTGTTAGTTAATAAATCGGTGTTTTAGATGGTTTTAGGATTGTATATACTACGATTTATTGCTCCTCTCAGGCGAGCATTATTTGTGGATCTATTCTAAGATCTCTAAGCATGTCACTCTTGCGGATGTACCATGGCACTTTGAAGAGTTTTCGAAGAGTCTGACATAATTGTACATATATAAGTAAATGTACAGACCCAACCTAAGGAGATTCTTATATCTTAGCATAACAGGTGGGGTGGACTAGTACTTCTTCAATTTCTTCTTTCCGTAGCTCAATGCTCTAGTTTTGTGTTTCTGAAAGTTTTTTCATCTATTGAAGAAAGGTAAAAATGAACAGTTTTGTTTTACTGCATATTTCGCGTGGGATAACAATATATGTCTTCGAGGTGGATAGTTGTGCAACTAGGTATTCATAGAAAATGTGTTTAGATGGCTTTACAAGCGTTTCACTGAAACAATCTCTAAAATGTTCATTTTGTTGGAAAAATATATGAACTTGCACTATTTTTTAAAATCTTTTCTGCTCAGTGCCAAGGGTTTGCTTTAAGGTGTCTTGGATGGGTTAATGAATCTTTAGCGAGCCTCTCACTTTTATTTAATTTTAAAGATTTCTGTTCTAGTTTCTTCCGTATTTTTTAAGAATAATGAATTCTTAAAAAATGTTTTTTAAAATGAAGATTTTTAGCTTAGTATTGAGTCCGATACCTTTCTTTTAGTGTAATGAATGAGATCCATTCCTATTAGAATTTATCTATATCTTTTACTGTAGATCAAAAGAATGTTTCTGCAACTATATTTCAATATGGTATATAGGTCAGGTAAAATACAAATGTGAATCTATGGCATAGGCCACGTAGATCGTCTATTGGTTCTCTTTCTAGTAATTTGGGAATAAATTTTTTCTAAACAAATTTATTATTATTTATTATTCTGTATCCATATTCGCTTCTTGAATAAAAACAAATAAAGTTTTAATTCTTCATACAAGTCACTTACTTGATCTAGATATTGGAGATAAATAATAGAGTGTTGCATTTCCGATGTTCACAGTCCATATCTGTTTATCGGTGACTAGCAACAATGAATTATACACATATCATATATAATAAATATATGAACACAGTATGTATGTGAGTACACAGATGCGTGCTTACTGTTGGTATGAAGTCAACTGTGACTAACTTAAAAATACTGAAAAGTAGTCATGCTTGGTTCTACTAATTTCATACCGTTTACCATAAAAATTGGAAAATTTAATAAGAATATGAGGCATAAGCAATTTTATTGCAATTAAAGATTGAAATTATAATATCTAATGATATTATATAGCATGAAATAAATAATTTAATAGAATAGTCAGTAGAGTATTTCTATCTAATTATGTTATATACTATGAACTTAGTCTTTTTGATCTATATTATTTAAATGTGTCAGTACACCAACTGTACATAAATAGAGCTCTCATGCATTCCTAAAAGCTAACAGCTGGTAGCGCAGTATAGGATGAGAAAACTGTCGAGAATATGGTCTTGAGCCAACCTAGTCTCTTCTGTTCCCAAATCAAATATATGTAGTTGAGTATAAAAGTATGAATGAGCTTGTCAGGATTGAATTGAAATTTGTATGAGTTCCTATTTATTTTTTAGCTTCTCCATGTTAAGAGATTAGTCAATGCTAATTTGCTTAGTGTTCTATTTTGTATAAAGTGTAAGCTATCTACCATTCCACCAGGGAACCAATTCAGCTATTTTAAGAGTCGTAGTCAGCTATTTAGGTGGTAAAGTTTTAGATTTCGTTCAAGTGACGAAAACTCTCTTCCTTTATTAGTACATTTTCATACATCTATTGAATTGACAAATATGGAGCTAATATCCAAATAAAAAGCTTACGCAGACAAGTACTTAGTATACTGTTATTGCTTAAAAGCCAGTATTTTTAAATTACCTATAATTTTACCGACTTTGGGTCCAAAAATTCATAATTATTAAAAGTAAGCCATTTTCTGTTAATGAACTGCATTAGAATATCGCTTGCATGTTCTACTGCCGATCTTTTATTATCCTTAATGTCTTCTATTCTACTCCATTCATCACTCCATTCACCACTCCATTATTCTTACCCATTTATTTTCCGATCTCTCGATCTAAACATATATTCATTCACATGCCGAGAAACTGAATTCATTTGAAGATTTAAGCTGAAGTCACAGTGCTTTTGAGCCATTGGAAGTATAAGAGACAGCTCTTATTTCTAAGTTTTTAACGATCAATCGTTTGTATGTGTTTTATTTATTCGCTGCTCGTTCTGGAGCTTCACTGACCTATCAAGAAGCAAATGACTCAGCGCGACTAATCGCGTTTATTGTGTTTTCTATTAGCAAAGAAATTGTTTATTAATGTCGTCCATATTAAGTTCCATTCATCGTAATAAAATTAAATAAAAATAATTTGTTTGTTTGTTTTGTTTACGTTATCGGCTTCGCTTTATTTTCGGTATTTAAGGTGATAAGCCAACGTGAGAGAATTCGGAGGGAAATTAAATTCGGACATAGTGCACAATTTTGGACTAGAAATTTTATTTTGTTGTTTTTTATTTGGTTTATTTATGATTAGTTTAGATATATGTGTACGTAATTGTATATAAAAACGACCATTCTTATGCTTTACGAATTAATAATTTCTGCAATATGTGGCTTAAAAATACTTCTATTGAAAGTGGTCCGTCCAATAACTGACCTCAAAGTTGATTCAAATGACCGTGTGTAATACATGTGTAAATTTAGTGATATTAGATAAATTCTTTACTTTAAATAGTAAAGGAAAGATAACTCTTATTTTTCACTTTTCTTCTTATACAATAATACTTTCTTCTCAATATTCTACATCACCAAACGATTAAGCTTGAAATCTAATATTTCATTGTTTGGACTTTAACATTTAATGAGTAAACTCTTGAGGCAAGTTTCTCTCAAACATGGGAAATAAGTCTCGCTTTTCAATACCTATGGTTGGTATTCACTTTCACATATAAGCACAAATCGTTGTTCTATTTTAAGTTGACTTTTTGTGAAGAGACTATTGGAGCATAATAATTTACTTAATCCATAAAATTTATCATTATAAATGTTTAAAACTGTGATAAGTTTACTACTGTCCGAACCAATTAAACAACATCTTTTCCATAGATCTCCTAAGTTATCTAATTTAGCAAACAATATGGATTGTGTACTGTTTTTATTATAACTAATATTAAAATAGTTCCGAAATAATCAAGACTTATAGGTTTGAAGTAAATAGGTTTGAAGTAAAGAACCACACATCAATGCTAAATCACTTGGTTTTCATAATAAACAGAAAAATCCGTTCTCTTAACTAATATTTTTTTAAAATATTAACACTTGCTTAAGAGAGTCAAGAGAGAGTCATTTTCTACACTCTTATCTTGACATTCTATAGAAGTATCTGCCAAACCATATATGGGACAGCGCACCGTCCAGCAAGTGACCGAAGTAGACCACGAAACGACTTGGGTTCTTTTTCGTTCTTCGATTCTCGGATGTCGTTATTGAGTTAAAGCTAGAGAGGCTTCCATTCGCATAACTACATCTCCTGTTATTGCAAGCAGCTCTTTTAGCTTGAGGTTGCCAGTCAATTTATTACCAACCCAATGGTGTCCCAAGGCAATCATCATCCTGATTGTCAGTGCTGGACATTAGCACAATATATGCACCGCTATCTAGGCGTAGTCTGCAAGTATCTTCATTAACAAGAATTATCTTTTTGAAGTGATACTTGAAGTTTCCATGTCTATATAGTAAACAAAGTACTTGTCTAAGTATCCTAACGTTATTATATTACCAAAGCATCTACTACTACTACTTCTATATCATATTTATATGAATTGTTTGAGTTCTCCGTATATATATATAGGAACTTAACGATATTAATATTGTTTTTGTAAAGCGGGAATTTTGTTGTTGTGGTACTTACTTGACGTTATATCTCTTTAACAAATAAAATAGTATTTGCTCTATTCTTCAAAGTTTTAGTTGATCATCAGGTTTTGAGTATCCATTTAATATACTAATATTTCTATCCTATCTAGCAGTGAATAGGTTTTAAATCTCTTATTGAACGCCGGGTCCAGATGTTATAACCAATGTTCACCGGTACATTGGTAAGTTCTTGGATGAA